GCCCCTACCTTTTCATCTTCAGCCATGGTGGAGAGGCTTCTCATGGGCTTCAGATGCTGCTGCTTGAAGGTCACAGAGTCCATGGAATGGAAAGGAGGAGGGTTCCTGCTGTGCTCTGTAGAACACAGATAGCCCTTTAGCCTACTTCCCACTGGCCCAGGTAGAATGGGCTCCTAGAGGAATCTATGGCCCAGCCTGAGCAAACTCTTTCTGAAAGAAAGCACAGGTACGGAGGCTCACGCAGCCTGGCGTGCCTCATCTCAGCTGTAGAATCCATCCTGTTCTTGCATACAGGAAGTCGCTCTGTGCTGCACTGGGCACTTGAAAAGAGGGGCGTGCCCAGTGGGAGACATGCTCCCGGACAGGTTTCTTGCCTTTGTTTTCAGTTTGCCAAAAGTTTTCCATTGCAAGGGCTTGTCACAACTAGAAATCGTTACATATTCTGTACACGGGGTCTCTGTTATGGATCTTAATCATTCATCATGTTTTCCTTAAAGTAAAATGAGTTTTCTATGAAAGGAGAAATAGGAGGTTATTGATGGTATCATATATCAAGGAAAGCTTTGGTTTGTTTCCATTTGGAAGAAGTGAGAGCTAGTATTTGTTAACTGCAGCAGTACCAGGAAAGCAGGCAGCCATTGTGTGTATGTGTGTGTGCATGTGGGGCTACATTAGTCCAGCAGAGCTGTCAGAAATCAGGCATTTGCCAAGACTTCTGAGCTTAGTTGAATTTTGATAGCTAATATTTGCAGACTGTCACGTAGGTAGTATTAACATCTTCCTTAATTCTAGCCTCCCTGCCTTTAGAGGCACCATCCTACGTCACGCCCAGACATACCCCATCACATTTATATTACGGCTGGAAAAAAATTGCAGTGATTTTGCTTTCGGAATTATTTTGCCACATGCACATCTCATTTTTCGATGGCTTTTGATTTCTCTGCTGTCGTCATGTATCCTCAGGAATTCTTGCAAAATGAGAAAAATCAATCCAGCCCTTTCCATCCCCCGCCCCCCCCCGCCCCCGAACGTAATGAAATTGTGATGAATGTTGACGTCAGCAGTTCATGATGTTGACTTCATGTTACAGGTTTTAGCCACTTGATTACACAGCTATTCATTATGGCTTTGCGGTTTTCTTTTCATGTTTTGGAGCTGACAGTTTTCACTTTTAAGGCTTTGGGTATTTTTGTAGGCCCAAGAAGAGACCCAGGAACTGAATTGCCTGGTGGGAAGAAATGACTCTGTGCTTGTGACATTAAGAAACCGAATTGAGATCGGCCTCAGAAAGGCCATTCTGAGAATCTCACCACACAAGTGAGGCATCTCATGCATACACACACTCACTCACACTCAGTCTCACATACACACGCACATTCGTACTATGATGCACTTGTTGAGATTGTTAGAATCTAGCACAAAACCAAAGAGTGATCGCTCTCCAGCTTCTCCCTGCTCCCTGCTGATGGTGCCTTGTGTTGTCTACAAATCTGGACAGCCAGTTTGGTCCACAGGTGTTTGGGCTTAGAGGTGTGGAATGAAGCCAGAGTTAGGCCTGCAGTGTGTTTTTCCTTGCTTCGCTATTCCCTTTTCATACAGCTGCACGGGGCACTGATGTATCCCCTGGAGGGGAGGGTTGATTAAATGGCCAACCTTCCCATTTTAGAAGGAGAACAATGAGCACCAGACAGAAAAACCACTCCTGGGAGGCTCACCAAAGACTTCCCAGGATGGAGCCCTTTCCTAGCTCAGTCACTGTGATGGTCTGCACGTTCCCAAGTGTGTTTTCAAAGACTTGCCCAGTGGCTTTTGTTTTGTTTTGTTTTGTTTTGAAACCAGGAATTCCGTGAAGAGAAGAAGGGCAGTATTGGCGGCTGGAAAGACAACCATGAATTTGATACACTTGATGCCCCTGGGAAGTTTGTGCGATTACTCAGGTGCAGGATGATGTGAGCTGCAGCAGAGGCTGGAGACAGTCGGCCATGTGGAGCTGCACAGGTAGCTAGGAACACTGTGAGCAGAGGAGCCGAGGATGCTGTGTTAGCACATGCCCAAGCTTGGCCCCTGCATAACTGGGCCACGCCGAGCTATAGGCCTGATGGGGACTGAGTCACCGGGGCCCTGCCAGTGAAAGCCACCTGTAACCACTTTGATTCATCGCTCTGTTAGAAGGTATTTCTAAAGCACCTACCTCGTGGCCAGTCTTGTGCTGGGAGCCAACGATCCTGCAGTGAGTGGAAGCAGCATTGCCCTCATCTGTAGGATGAGGAAGGGAGTTGGGTTGTTGGCAGATTTCAGGTTGGTAGTGACTCTTTGGTTTAGAATGCAGCCTTTCTGGGCACCTAAATATGGGAAACACAAAAAAAAAGTGGATCTGTTTTTGTTTGGTGACTATCCCCTTTGTGAATAGTGGACTCTACTGCCATATGGAACCCAATTTGAACACCAGTGGGTGAGATGATCCCTGAGGAACCTTCCAGGAGCCCATGCTATTCTAGAATTCTGTGGTTTCTTGATGACAGGTGAGTTCCCTTCCATTCCCAGTCATCATGATCCTGTGTCTGGAACCCTGAACTATCCATCGGTTGAATTATCATCCTTCTTTGCTTATGGATGCCAGATTCATGTCCTGTTTTTCTCTGGGAGATGGGAGGAGTCTAAATGCCAAAGCTTCCATCCAAGTAGCTGTTTGCAGGAGAGGAGAGGAGAGAAGGGATGATGTGCTTGAGTCAGCTTGCTCTGTCCCTCTCACTGTTCAGAGTGACTCTCAGCTGCAAGGATTGTGGTTGTGCCATTGCCACTGTCATGTTATCTGCCACATGAGCCAGAGCCACTGACCCCCATCTCCAACCAGAATGCCTCAGGACCCTACAGACCACAGCCTCCTTACTAGAGCCTCATCTTAGTCTTGCTCTTCTTATCCAGTCCATTCCTCCTGGCACCCAGATCAGCCGTGCTCTGAGTATTATTTCCCTCTTGGCTGCAGAGTCAAGTGCAAGCTCCTCATTCTGGCACCCCCTAATACCTGCCTCAGTGGAACCTCTATAGCTTACGAGGTTACTCCCACCCTTACCCAAACACTTTCATTCCTAATTCCAAGCTTCCACTCAGGGAATTTGTCCACCTGGAATGGCTCCTTTCTTCCCCTCCTCTCAGCTGCATGGCTCCAAGTCAAGCCCTACATCCTTCCTGGGGCTGTCCCAGAACAAGCAGATCCTCCCTTCTTTGAAAGCCCACAGCACTTGCTTGCTGTCTGAAATGCTTCATATGTGGATCACACGGGTCTTTCATTGGAAATCTTTTGCTGTGGCTCTGGCCTGAGTCTCCCATTACCCATAAGCTCTTCGATGACAGAATCTGGATCTTTCAGTTCTTTGGCCCCTTTCCCTGCCTTGTGCTCAGTGAAGGTATTAGTTGATCAACTCTTCCTGGGTTAGAGCACAAACCTATGTATTATCCAGTTAGAGCATTCCGATTGCTAAAGGTGGCCAGAATTGAAGGTGTCTTTCTTGATTAATAAGCTTGATTTTAATTGGCGAATCTGGTGTCAGATTGTGTTTGGTAGCCAGTATCAGAGACCCAACTAACTGGCTTTAAACAAGGCAAGAGTTGTTTTTCTCTCTTATAAGAGCCCACGGCAGGTTGGCAGTTCAAGATCAGGTCGGTGATTCTATAGCATCTCAGGCTCCTTTGTCTTTCTGCCCTGTCATCGTTAGCACTGGCTCCAAGATGGCTGCTACAGCTCCAGTCATCACTTCTGCATTGTAAGCATGATGAGAATGAAGAAGGGTGGAGGAAAGCCCTTCTTTTAAGGAGCTTCACTGATGCCCCACCTATTAATCCTGCTTATATCTCTTTGACCAATGCTTAGCCCCTCTGCAGCCACCATTTCTCCAAGGGAGGCTAAGAAATTCAGTTCTTTAGCTGGACATATTTTTCCCAACACGACTACCCAATCAGAGTGCTTTTACTATGGAAGAGGACAGGAAGGGGTATCGATTGGGTTGGCAGCCAGCAGTGCAGGTTGTAGCTGATTAATAGCACCCATTGTTTTTCAGGCTGAGGAGGTGGCTGTCAAAGAAGGCAACAGATATTTCCAGTTCATGCTTGCAGGGTTTTTTTGCCAGTGAATCCCAGGACTTCAGAGGTTGGCTTTCTCCAAGATCTCATCCTCAGACAAGATGATCCTTGTCTGAGGATGACAAGATGACATCCTCATCTTGAATGATTCACCCTGAGCCCCCAAAGCCATTGAATGTGATTGGCCTCATAAAGTGGTGATGGCTGACTCCTTTGTTGTGGCCAGCTCATCTTTTAGCACTGAGGAATGGTCCTGGTGTTCTGGGTCACTTTAAAGATTTGCTGAAGCAAATTTGGAGCCAAGCCATGACTTCTGTGTTAAAGTCATTGTCCCCATGATGGATAATGAACATAATCTTGATTCCACACAACTTTGAGCTTCCCTACAGATTTAATATTTTTGTACGTTTTAATGGAACGACCTGATTATATTAATAAGAGTAAATTCTAATTTTCAAAAATGACTGATTTTTAAAATCACTCTGGTACATAAGGGGACTCTAAAAGAAATTGCAGCTGCACTAGAAAGCACTCATGATTTTGTGGTCAGACCTTGTTTATTTCCAATGGAAAACAGTGGTCTTCTGGCCCGGTCATTCATCCCACTCACCAGAAGCTTCAGCCGGATACCTCTCTCGCTTTTACCAGCTCTCGGGAGGTTCCCTCTGTCTGGAAGGGGAGTCCCTTTTTACTTGCCTCTGTTTGCAGGATATTTAGTGTTTGGAGATGAGTGTGAAGTATCTTGTCAGTGAATCACCATGGACTGTCTCAGGGTTGAAAAGATGGGCAAAATCAAGTGTGGTGGGCGCAGGGGGACCCTTTATAAATAAGTGGACAATTGGGTGGGCCTGAAAAATATATCCCTGAGGCTACATATAAGACCAAGAAGGTGCTCCATTCTCTGATTTTATTTTACTCAAAAAAATATCGAGGGCTTCATGAATTTGCATGTCCTCCTTGCACAGGGGCCAGGCTGATCTTCTCTGTATCGTTGGAATTTTAGTATGTGTGCTGCCAAAGCGAACCCTGTTTCTCTGATTTTAGAACTCTCTATGAAGGTAGACTTTTGTGGAATTTGCCCCACAGAAAGTATTGCAGGGAAGGGAAATGATTTTGTCCATAGATAGAAAGGGCTTGATATCCGTTCCAAGTGATAAAACATCCAACCCAGGCTTCACATAAACGTAAAGAGGAGGGAAGTATTGACTCAAGGAAATGAGAAGTCCAGGAAGAGGACTGGCTGCACAAGCTGCATGTTTGCGGACTCCATCATGACCTCAGGCCTCAGCTACCCCTTGCCCTTTTCACCTGTACCTTCCTCCCCGTGTGGGTTTATCTTCAACTCAGCTTCTCGCATGCCAGCCAGTTGGCTGTCGCTGCCCCAGACTTGACTTCTTGTGTTAAATCAGGAGGAGTGAAAGTGTTTTCCTTTCCCAATAAACATTCCTATAACCCCTTGGTTCTGACCAGATATTGGTGGAATCCATCCTTGACTCAGTCACTAAGGTGAAGGTTTGCCCACGCCGGAATGAGGCTTCTTCCAAAAGCAGAGTCGTCCCAGAAAGCTGGAGGCCATGTAGTTCCAATATCCAGAAACTCCAGAGAATGAAGTTGGGATCTAGAATGACAGAGATGGCTGACTTATTTCGCTCAGCCTAACACCCTCAAGGTCCATCCATGTTGCTACACGTGGCCAGATTTCATTCTTTGTCATTGCCATGTGGTATTCCATCGTACAGATAAACCACATCTTCTTGATCCATAAGTCAGGCAGAGAAGGACAGATACCATATGTTTGCACATATAGGAGGATTAGGAGGAACTTAACGGAGGACCACGGTGGGAGAAGAAGGGGAAAAATAGTGGGGGAGAGGGAGGGAGGCAAACCGTGAGAGACTCTTGAATGCTGAGAACAAACTGAGGACTGATGGGGGTGGGAGGGAGGAGGGCACTTGTGGGTATGAGCACTGGGTGTTATATGGAAACCAACTTGACGATAAACTATTAAAAAACAATAGAATGACAGAAATGGGAGTTTTTATGGCGCTGCAGCAAGAAAGCCATTATTTCAGGCTGAAGCTGATGGCTTGTTAATACTGGTCTCACTCCTGATCAGCAGTGTTCATTCATTCATTTGTTCACCCCTTCATCCAGTTGTTCTTTCATTCACAGCACACGCATACCTCATGCAGTCTTCATGGGACTCCCATGAGCGTCCTTGGCCTGATTAGACCCAGTAAGGGCATGTGACTTGTCTAAGGTATCATTGTCTATAAATAGCAGAATCATGACTCACACCTGGGGCTTTTGAGGTGGCATTTTTACCTGTTCCCACTCAACTGTCCTGCACCCTGGAAGAAAAAGGCCTTTGCTCTGGCGCAGGGATTTGACTGGGGCATGACATAGGTAACTCTGAGATTCTTTTTGGGTCTGAGTTTATGATTTCAGGAGAGATGGAAGGTTTAGAATTAGGTGGGGGCAAGACAGAGAAGATTTTGCAGAAGCACTCCCGCAGAGGAAAGCTAGGAGGTACATGAAGGGACATCCCAGACCAGAGAATGGCCTTTGGGACGATCCTATGAAGGCATCCTGTAGCCAGATCTCAGCTACAGGAAATATCACAGGACAGGAAGCCCTTCAAACTGAGACTGCTCCTATATTTTAGCCAATAAAAAGTAAATGCAATGTTTACTAGAGACCAAGATGCTGGCTTGCCAGATTCTGCCCCCAGTGACTGGGAGTAAATAGCCAAGGTCACAGGATCACAGCCTCCATTCTGGTCATGCAGGGAATGAGGAAATACATCAGGGCTTCCCGGCTCCAGACACAAAAATGGAGTATTTCTATGCGATGTTTTTACAGTGACTGTCATAACCGGAAATATTCCTAAAACTTACTGGGGATAATAGTAGTTTTATTTCATCCCTATAAAAGTCTTTGGTTTAGAGTAGCGTGTAATATCCTATAAATTTCCATGTAAACTCTACCCTTCCATTTTTCGCATGGGCCAGGTAGTAGCTTCAGCTGATGACTCAGGACATTTTGGCTTTATTTACTCAAGTAGTCCTAAATTGGGGGAAATTAAATTCAATCTGAGCCAATTCAGCCTAGCTGAATTTTATTGAGCTATAAGCCTCGCACCGTTCTAGATTAGGGGATGTAAAGTTAAATAAAATAGAGTTCCTGTCTTCAGGGATATTTCAGTTAACCAGTGCTCAAGGCAAACTACCCCAACACTTAGTGGCTTAAAGCAGCCCACTGATTTTGCTCTCAGTTTTGTGTGTTAGGATCCTGGAAAGGGCTCAGTCGTGCAGTTCATCTCCGATGTACACGTCTGAGTTCTACATCCTTGGGGTTACCGAGAGGTGGGCCTCCATTCAGTCTTTCACTCAGCAGGTATGTCCTGAGCACCTAATGTATGCCAGAGAGTGTTCTAGGTGCTATGGCTGTAGTGATGAAGGAAACAAAAGCACTAAGCAAGAGAGACTGTTCATGAGCTTCAGGTCTGTGATGGGGAGACCAGCAGTAAACAAACGAATGGTGCGGTACTCCATGAGATTCCAGGTGGAGACTGCAGGGGGTGCTCTTTAAGATGGGGCAGCTGGAAAGCCTCTGGGGGTGGGGGACACTTTAGCACAAGTGAGGGGTTTGGGCAGAGAGTTCGAGGCGGAACTGCCAGGGAACAGCCAGGGTGTGAACTGCTTTGGTGCTTGCCCTCCACCTTGCATTGTGGCTCCCTCTGTGAGCCTGCCTTGCTGCCCTGTGAGCTCTCTGAGGTCACAGGGCTGGCGTGGAGGTAGGAACCGTGCTCTGTGCTCTCTGTCTGCTCTGAGCTCAGAGGAGGACAGCTGCTGATGGGGGGTGGCCAGCATCCAGGCCTTGAGCGCCAGCGCTGTCGTTTCTCAGGATGGTGAGCAGCCTTCTCTGTCCAGCCACCTACCCTCTCTTGCTGTTCCTGGTGCCAGGAGATTTGTTTTCACTTAGGGGGAACCTGGACTTATCTACCGCATCAGTGTTGTTCCCAGGAAGCTGGCCCTTTCCCAAGAAGAAGAATGTGGGGCAGCAATCTCGCTAATAAGGAAGTGAGGCTGGGACTCCAGGGAGGGAATGATGACTCAGAGTAAGGTGCATAGCGGGTTCCCCGGCTACTCACCATCTGCATGCACGCATGCATTCTTTCATTCATCCCCCAACACGTAGATGAGCACGTAGATGGAAAGGGAGAAGTTCATGTTCAGCTCTGCCACCACTTGTAATCTCAGCAAGTTATTTAGCCTCTCTGAGCCTGTTTCTTCAACTATAAAATGGGAATATGGGTATGATTTTTCAGAGTCATGAGGATGAGATGCGAAGAGACCCTGGAGTTAGGATTGCCGCAGTTAGCAGATACAAAGGGTGCCCATGAGAGGATGCCAGGGGAACCCTCTTGCACTGCTGGTGGGAATGCAAACTGGTGCAGCCACTGTAGAGAACAGTATGGAGGTTCCTTGAAAAACTAGAAATAGGGATACCCTATGACCCAGCAATTGCACTGTTAGGTATTTACCCAAAGGATACAAAAATACAGATTCGAGAGGGTACATGCACCCCAATGTTTATAGCAGCACTATCAACAATAGCCAAACTGTGGAGAGAACCCAACTGTCCATCAACTGATGAATGGATAAAGAAGATGTGGTGTATATACATATATATATATATCTATGTATGTATATATATTGGAATATGACTGAGCCACTAAAAAGAATGAAATCTTGCCATTTGCTCCAATGTGGATGGAACTAGAGCATATTATGCTAAGCAGAATAAGCCAGAGAAAGACAAATGTCATATGATTTCACTCATATATGGAATTTCAGAAACAAAACAGTTGCACATAGGGGAGGATGTAGGGGGAAGAGAAGAGAGGGAAATACATCACAAGAGACTCCTAATGATAAAGAGCACACTCAGAGTTGATGGAGGGGGCCTGGGTGGGAGATGGGCTAGATGGGTGATGGGTACTAAGCAGGGCAGTTTTGGGGATGAGCACTGGCTGTTGTATATATGTGATGAATCACTCATTTCTACTCCTGAAACCAATATGACACAGTATGATAACTAAAATTTAAATTAAATTTTAAAAAAGTGTGCCAATGAAATTTTGAATGTCAGATAAACAAGGATTATTTTCTTTAAGTTTATTGGGTGGGGGGTGGGAAGGACAGAGAGAGAGGGAAAGAGAGAATCCCAAGCAGGCTCTGTGCTGAGAGGCAAGGTTCCATCTCCTGAACTGTGAGATCATCACTTCAGTGGAAGTCAAGAGTCAGACGCTTAACCGACTGAGCCACCCAAGTGCCCCAGAAATATTTTTTACTGTAAGTTATGTCCTGAGCATTGCATGCATATCTGATGTTCAGTTTTAACTCTGCATTTGGTATTGTAATTGGCACCCCTACCTGGGGATAAAGGTGCAGGGGGGAAATGCCTGACTTTGAGGAGCATATACTAGCAGCAGGCATGAAGAACAGAATTGCAGTGCAGGGCGATGTGACTCATGTCAGAGGTATAGACAGAGTGCTGTGGAAACACAGACAGCCCCCTTTGGGCTCTTAGGAAAAACATCCACACTCGCTCTTGCTGGCATGCTAGTTGACCATCCCCAGTGACTGTGGGATTAAAGCCATGAGAGCACAAAATACATGCGCATTAGGTGAGGTGGAGACAGCTCCTGTTTGCTTCCCATCCAGTAATCCGGGAAAATGAACTGTTTTCTTCCCTCTCAAAGCCAAGGGCGATCTTTGTTGATCAGGAAACAGACAATCTATTTCTTCTACTCCTTTTCTATAGACCATTTTAAAATAAAACGAAATTAATTTAGGGGGAAACAATCATATTGTTCCCCGACTTTATGAAATGTGCCTCCCTCAGATAAAATGCTAATAATTCATTATTCTGCTTCCCTGGAGATCCAGAGGTAAATTTGTCCTGTGCCACCCAGAGATCTAAAAGGAGAAACACAATTGGAGCCTTTGGTTCCTAACTA